TTTTATCAACATTTTTCCCCAAACTAATATTTACTCTTGAAGGACATGGACCCGAGAAATTAAGGAATTGGACAATCAATTATATTTTGGACAAGTAATTAGAAGGACTGTACTGAATATTAGTAATATTCGGAAAATATGTCAGTGTAAGGAAGCACCTAGCACCACCTGCCTAGGCTCGGAAAAAAATCCGTAGAAAGTAAGAGCTCCGTGCTAGTTGTGTAGGATATCGTATGGTCGGCCCCGTCCGACTAGACTGCTCACTGGTTATTATTGTTTTTATAAAATTTTTACAAAATAAAATTACAAGCAAATTTCTCCAATAGAATTTGTGATATATCTACTTAATAAACACATCACCGTAGAATATAAAGGTCTTTTACATATCAATTACCGGTTACTCTCGAAAAAATCGATAACTTTTCTTTAAAAATTCCGATCGAATCGTATCGAAATTTATTGTCGAATAAAAATTAGCCAATATCGAAACTCATAATTAAGTTAACCCCTGATATTAGACAATATATTATTGGATTTTTCAACAGAACAATGAACCAAACCCCACAGCCCCAAATATGTCCAGGTCAATAGAATGATGTTGCTTGATTCGCATATACTTTTAAGTTTTTTTTTTCGGATCAGAGCTGAAGAATGCTCTAGGATTGGTCTCTTTGTCTAAAATTATTATTTTCAGGACCTAAACATGGAATGACAAGCGTCATTACATACTATGGTGGAGGGTAGATATGGAGAAATATATCGTGATATGGAACCATTGTAACATCAACAATAAACTTCACATTGAAGAATTTTTTTCTCAATGTCTACATAAAAAATCGGGCGAAATTATATATGAAAGCTACATTTCAATTGGTTAAAGAAAAATTCACAAAAATGATGAATGAAAGAGGAGACGTATGAAATCATTCTGTACCAAGACAATGCGAGTTCTCTCACATCGCTTAAACTAGCAACTTTTTTGCCAATTAAAACATGTAATTGATGGTTCATTCACCGTTCAGCCCTGACTTGAAACCCAATGACTTATTTTTATTTCAACACATCAAGAAAAAAACTTGAAGGGCTTTGAGAGAACTCATATGATTTGATTTTCATATGGTATTTTTACCATGGTATTGTATTGATAGATACCAAACAACGGTTCTTATTGGCTTCAACATGGCGAAGCCCAGGCTTACCTTACACTGATCTCCCCGAGGTGTCACCTGGGGTAGCTATTTTCATCACCCCTTTAAATAGTGAGCCGATATGTGCCGCGAGTTCACTCATAAGAACTATAAAAAATCGATTAGTTGCCCACACTCGGAAAACCCCTCCTACTATGAAAAACATAGGAAACCAAACCTCCTAATAATGACGACCCCCACAAACGTAAAAAGGACCACGATCTTCAAATCTGCACTTGGAATGTGCGCACGTTGTACGGAACAGGCGCAGTTTTCGCTTTGGCGGATATACTCAAGAAGTACAAAACCGATATTCTTGCCTTACAGGAAATGCGATGGAACGGGACAGGCCGAAGTAAATCAGACGATTACGCACTGTATAATAGCTGCCATGAAACGAAACATAAATTTGGCTGTGGATTTATGGTTAACAGGAGAATAAACGCCCTCTTCTCCAGATTCACTCCAGTAGATGAGCGAATTGTTATAATCCGTATAAAAGCGAAGTTCTTCTACATCAGTCTTATTTGCCCTCATGCTCCAACCGAAGACAAAGATGTGCAGACCAAAGACATATTTTACGAGTGAGTAGAAACAGCATATGTCCGCTGCCCTGGCCATGACATTAGAATTATGCTAAGAGATTTTAATGCAAAACCGGGAGGGAAAATATCTTTGGCGTCGGAAAATTTAGCCTTCATGAAGTAACATTCGACAACGGCATGAGGTTGATAGACTTCGCGGCAGCAAAACATGGTAGCAAAAGTGCAATCTAATACAACACGGAAACTCGACGTCGAAAAACTGCAAACAAATACAACAGGTGGCCGAGGCCTACTCCGCTCAACTTACCCGCCTGCTTGACGAAAGCACTTCTTGTCCCGGCAATTGTATAGAAGCACAATGGCAAAAAATTGCCCACTCCTTACAAACTGCAGCAAAATCAACACTTGGGTACCAAAAACCACCATCAAGCAACCCATGGTACGATCAGGAGTGTCGTAATGCTACTGGCCTGGAAAACGCAGCGTATAGGACAATCCTGCAAACAGTAGCAACACGTAATGCTATGGAGAATTATCGGGTGAAAAGGAAAGAGGAGAAACGTATTTTCAGAAATTTCATCAAATAGTGGCGGTGAAGAAGATACCCCAGAACCAATAAGAGATGACGGTATAGATTGTATACCACCTAGCCAAGATGAGGTCGGAGTAGCAATTAATCGGCTGGAGAACAATAAAGCAGCAGGTGCCGATGGATTACCAGCCGAAATATTCAAGACCAGTGGTCAGATGCTGGTCAGGAGTATGCATCAGCTGATTTGTACAATTTGGCAGGAGGAATGCATGCCCAATGATTGGAACCTCAGCATTCTGTGTCCCGTACACAAAAATGTAGACAAGACGATATGTGCCAACTATAGAGGAATAGGAGACTTATTCCCTCCCATCGCATATAATGTGCAACAACAGTTTCGAGGTAGTGAACGATCCGGAGTAGAATTGTGTTGGCCAACAGTTGCTTCTATGGTCTGAGTAAGCAACACAAAAGCAAGGCCACCTCTTGCCAGACCAAACTCATACTCTACAAGACGTTGATATTACCCGTGCTGTTGTATGTATCCTGAAGCATTGGTACTTGCTCAATCAGATGAGGCAGCTCTTTGTAGTGTTTGAGCGAAAAGTTCTCCGGATGATCTATGGGCCGATCTGTGTTGACGTTGAATATCGCTCATGAGCTGTACCAGCTATTCTCGGACATCGACATTGTTATACGTATTGAGCTGCAGCGACTACGTTGGTTAGGTCATGTTGTGAGAATGGATGAAGATGCCCCAGCCCAGAAGGCATATAAAAGCGAACCAGCTGATGGTTCACGCAGAAGGGCAAGACCACGAATAAGATGGAAAGATCAAGTGGAAGACGACATTGCCGAATATGACCTTTCAAACTGGAAAAACTGCTCAAAAGACCGATGCGCCTGGAAATCTTTTTTAAGCTCGGCTTATGAAACGAAAGTTTTGTCACAAGCCAGCTAAGTAAGTAAGTGCTGAACCCTTGTAGGAAATGTGTTTTATACAAAACTCTTGAAATTTTCGATTTTTATTAAATTTTTATTGTTCTTCCTTATTTTTTTGGTTGTTGGTTGGTTTGTTTGTTTTTGATTAAAGTCCTTAAAAACTATACATTTGTTTTGTTTTTGGTTTGTTTTGTATTAATTTGAATTATTGTTATTATAATTAATTATTTATTTTTTTGTGTTATACTTCAAATTTTATATACGACTAGACAACTTTCATAAAAACGGTTAATTGTTTTTATTGTTGTTGTGTGTGTGTGTGTGACATTATATATTAAGAGATATTTATTTTAATATTTGTTTGTTTGTCTTCCATTATTAATATGTTTTTTTGTTTTACAATAATAATAATATGTATAGAGATGATAAGAAGTCTATTTATAGGTTTGTTTTTTTTTTTGTATTTATTATGATACGAAAAATAATTACTTAAAAAAATACAAATTTGAAAAAAAGTATTTGAATTTGAAAAAAAAATTGAAAAATATGATATTTTTGGTATGATAAAAAGTTAAAAAAATGCAAATACATAAATTGACTAAATTAATTTAAAAAGAAATAAGTAATGAATGAGAAAAAATTGCTAAAAAATGATTAATTTAAATAATTTTTTGGTATAAATTAAAAATAAGTTTTTTGGTTTTGGCGGTCTTTGGAGAAATGGTGGTTATCCTAAAAATTGTATTTAATATTTACAAAGGTGTTTCGTTTTTGGTTTTGTGTTTATAAAAAAAAGATATTAAAGATAATTGAACAAAAACTTGCTAAATGACCAGAAAAAAATTTGAATGAAATTATGATTTAAATAAACTATTTTTTAATATATAATAATTATTATGATTTTTTGGTTATAATGAAAAAAGAAAAAAAAATATAATCTAAAGTAGTTATTGTTCTTCTTTTTTTAAGTATTTTATAAAATACATTTTTTTGTTGTTTAATTTTCCATGCTGTTTTTTGATTTGTTTTCTTTTGACATGGCAACCCTATCAGCTGTTTTTGTGTGGAAAGCAGCTGTGTTGCTTAGTCAGTTTGTTTATAGCTTTCCAAAACAGCTGATTTTTGTTTTTTTTCTTATATTTTATAAATTACATTTTTTTTATTTTATTATCATGGCTTACAAAACTATTTATGATTGGGGTTTTTATTAATTATTTTTTTTTAATTTGTTACGACATATTTTTTACAAATAACAATTATTATTTTTTTCATTTCTTTGCTAAAAAACACGTTGATTGATTTTTAGGGTTTTGGTTTTTATCCTTCAACTATATTTGTTTTTCCCATAGAACTTAAATCTAAGATTTTGATATTTCCCAATTGGAGATTTGGCCGATGTTGTTGTTTTTGTAGTTTCTTTGCCCGGGATTTGCTGCTGCTGCCGCTTCAATCGATAACATCTTCATCATCTTCGCCGCCATCAGTGTTGCCATTGGAACCCATGAGACCATTTGAATTGCCGCCAACACCACCATTGCCGCTACCACCACCACCAATATCACCCTGATGATGATCATGAGGCGATTTATCCTCACCACCACCCCCACCATCTCCATGGTGATGATGATGATCCATCAATAAATTGTTGTTGTTATTGTGCATATTACCATGATGTTGTTGCAAATGATGTTGTAAATTGCTATTCAGATTAACACAATGGTTGCCCAAATTATTGCCCCCACCTGATCCTCCTCCCCCACTTTGATGATTACCCGACGACGATGATGACGACGAAAAATTATGCAAATGGTGTTGATGTTGATTCAGCAAAGCCCCAAGGGCGTTTTCTCAGACAACATCAGCCACCCCACTGTACTGGCATGCCGATAGACCCGCCGAATTGGAACGCGACACGGGTGATGGTGCCGAATAGGGACTACTAAAACCGGTTGTATGTTGTTTAGCCTTCAGGCGCAGCGTTGCAATACTCGATGACATACTTGAGGTCATACAGGGCTCGGCCGCCGCCCTATACATATATGGATTGGCAGGTGTACTATAGGGGCAGGGTGCAGCTCCAACATTACTATTTGTCAATGTGGTACCCATAGTGCCGGGCAACATGGAATTATTCATACTGACCGCCACACCACTGGCCCCAGTATTAAAACAATTTACCGAATTCTGATGGTGATTTGTTGTGACCATCGAACCCAAATGATTGACAGGCCATGGGAATGGTTTGGCGCCCAACGGTGAGGGAACTTTGGTCCAATTGTTGTAGGTGTACGATGAATAGAGGGAGTCATCGGCAAATGGTTGCATGAATTGGGTGCCGAAGCCAGATTTGAAATCGGCCGCAGCAACGGCAGCATTCATGGCATTGCGTTCACGTTTACGCCACTTGGCACGACGGTTCTTGAACCACACCTGGAAGAGAGATGAAAAAAATGGCATTGATTAGTTTTTTTGTTGGCAAGGAAATAAAAATTGGAGAAATAAAAATCGGAGAGACAAGAAAATATTCACTGCCCACAAATCCTGAAATGACAAATTAGATAAAAATCGTTGGAAGAAGGGTCCTCAAAGCATTCCGAATTATTGCTATACAGAAAATAAGTAAACATTTTGAAAAAATTGAAGAAATTTAAACGTTCTCAGCCAGAGGGCAGCCATGTACCATTAATGTACCTCCGTCATTCCTTTGCAACATCTCGAAATATTTACAGACGATTTACCTGAATCTGGAAATGCCGATAGATCTCGTAATACTTAATAGAGAGCTATGACATTTTGCATACACACACATTTCTGATACTCTAAGTATGTTTGGTATTGAAAGTGCGATATATCCGTCCATATTTTGGTCTAGCCCCCAATATTACAGTACCCTCCTATATTTGGTGTTTAGGAGATTTTAGACGTGTTTTTTCTATCGGATTGGCTATAATTTGTTTTTATTGAACCTCTTTTTGGAAAAGGCCCTATATAACGCTACTTTCTGATTATTGGTATTTTTAGGAGATGGAGTACCGCTTCATAACCGAATTGGCTATATATATATATATATATTATTGATTCTCAACGAGTAAAAAAATTTCCTAGCAAAAATTATCAACATTGGACCATTTTTCGGGGTAGTCCCCATATCGTGGTATCCCTCATTATTCGATATTTTGGGGATTTTGAGCACGTTTTCAACTAAATTGGCTATAATTTCATCTTTTGGTTCCCCATGAGGTTATAAATCCTCATACCAAACATTATCAATATTGGTCCACGATTTGGTACATTCCCAATATGCGAATTTCGGTATTTTTTTATGGTTCGCATTATATTATGGGTTCGCATTGGGTCTTAAATCTCCTTACAAAAAATTATCAATATTGGCCTATGTTTCAGGGTAGGTACCATATAGCGGCAACCCTCATTATTCGATATGTTGAAGATTTTGAGCCTGTTTTTCAACCCAATTGTCTCTAATTTGATATTTTGAGTTCGCGTTGGGTCTCAAATGGTCATACCAAAAATAATCCGTATCGGTCCACCGTTTAGCATATTCTCCATATAACTATACCTTCCGAAATTCCGGAATTTGGGGATTCTGGGCATGTTTTTCAATCGAACTGCATCTAATTTGACAATTTAGGTTCGCATTAGATTTCATATCTTTATAACAAAAATTATTTATATCGGTTCACGTTTTGATATAGTCCCCATATAACAGTACCCTCTAATTTTCGGTATTTTGAGAGCTTGGGCAGGTTCTTTAACCGATTTGGCTTCAATTCAATATTTTGGGTTCTCATTAGGTCTCAAATCTTCCTACCAAAAATTATCAATATCCATCCACTTTTTGATATAGGCCCCAAAGGATGTACCCTACGATTTTCGGTATTTTGAGGAGCTTGAGCTGGTTTTATAACCGTTTTGGCTCTAATTCGATATTTTGAAATCTTATTGGATCACAGAACTTCTTAACAAAAAATTATCAATTTCGATCCAATTTTTGTTACAGCTCCGATTTTCGGTATTTTAAGAAGCTTGGACAGGTTTTTTGACCGAATTGGCTCAAATTCGATATTTCAGATTCGCATAGAGTCTCAAATCTTCCTACGAAAAATCCACAATATCGGAACACGTTTTGGTATAGCCCCCATAGGATGTTACACTCCGATTTTCGGTATTTTAAGGAGCTTGGAGCAGGTTTTTTGACCGTTTGGGCTCTAATTCGATATTTTGAAATCTCATTGCGACACAAAACTTCTTACCAAAAATTATCAATATCGGTTCAGGTTTGGTTTTGCCTCCGTATGAAGGTACCCTCCGATTTTCGATATTTTTGAGAGATGTGGCTCTAATTTGATATTTTGAGTTTTCATTGGATCACAAATGTCCCTTCCAAAAATTATCAATATCGATTCAGATTTTGGTATATACCCAAAATAATGCTACCTTCCCATTTTCGATATTTTTGGGAGATTGGGCACGATTTTCAACCTAAGTGGATCTATTTCATTATTTGGGGTTCTCATTAGGTCGCAAATATTCCTACCAAAATTTTTTCCAAATTGGTCTACTTCTTTGGATAGGCCCTATTCAAAGCTCCAGACCCTTTGTAGGTATTTTTATGGCCCTATGCATTTTCCAACCGATATGACAATATTTTTGCATTCCAAAGTGCCATTTTTTGGGATCTTGTTGGGTAAACAACTTCTTCACAAAACATTTTCAGTCCATAAGTCCATGTTCCCGCATAGCTCACGTAACTTTTTCGCAGAACATTTTTAATGTAAGTCCATGTTCCCACATAGCTCCCGTATAAAGGAGGTAAGGCATAATTTTTGGTATGTTCAAGGTCCGAAGTCGAATATTGCAACCTGCGAGTCTGTAGTTTGATATTTCATTTTGCTTCTAGAAGCAATTTACCTCTAAACATTTTTTTCTCATGCTTCTGGAAACAAATTTCGATACTCAAACCCCTGATCCGCACCCTGCATTCTCTTCCATAGAAAAAATTAAATGTTGTCCCCAATTTCATAAAAAAAATTAAATATGTCAAAAATATCAATTTATGGACCTGTTTAAAACGATGTTTACTTTCCCTAATATTTTTTTTTCTTGATCTCAAAAATTCTGCAACAGATGATGCCATTTTTGGGAAATTTTTCAATTCCAATTATTTGTTTTTGTTTTGTTTTTTTCCTCTCTCAACTTTAATATTAAATTTTAAGCTACTTCAATCAAAAATGTCGTATTTTCTCTTTTTGGAAATGAAAATAAATGTACTTTGGCATATTGCTGGAACCCACCAGTCAGTCAGCCATGGGGGGATGGCTGGCTGTGGGGTATGGCAGCAAATTACCCTCTGCACTTTGTGAATCTGTGTGCCATTGTTGAATTTATTTCATTTTTGTAGATATTTATTTTGTTTCGTGGAATACAACACGCCATCTTTTATTTTGTTTTATTTTGTTTTTTTCCGTTTTTTTTTTTTTTGAAATAAAATAAGATTTTACTCCTCCTACCCTCTGTGCGGAACTTCTCAAAACACAGATGGCTGGTGTAACATGGCAACAGTGATGAGGGGGCTTTCCATAATATTCCTTTATTTTTAGATGCCAGGCTCTGGGATAAAAACTTCCAACTAAAGGACTTGCTGCCTGCCAATGCTGGGTTATGAGTGGCAGGGAGTGGAGGGGGTTTAGATTCACATTTCTACCCAGGGCAGATTTAAGTATCAAAAATACGCATGTGCAGTAATTATAAAATACACATAAATACACCAGAATAAATACACTTTTCGTACTCACGTAGCATACTTGAAAATCTTGTTTTATTTTGTTTTTTTTTACATTTTTGTTTGTTCTTTTTGCATTCCCTTTCCCCCCTTCCCACCTCTCACCAAAACCCCTTTCCCCACATTTCTACATTGAAAAATTGTATATGGCAGTAAGTACTGGCATTGTCGGAACATGGTGTCTGTATGTATGTTTGTTAAATACTCAGTATTCTGAATATTACATAAATATAGACTCTTTCTCTCTCTCGGTTCCGAAGCAATGGCAACCCTCCAATATAAATACATCCAGACCTACATACATACATATCTATATAAATGAATGTTAAGCCACCCCCACAATAAAAATAATAATGGAAGAATTATAACATCACGTTTTGCTGGTGTATAAATATTGAATGAATGAGAAAAACGAGAGCAGCACAACAAACAAAAGAAACGTATACAACAACAGCAGCAACAACAACAACAAATATAAATATTTCACAATGTATACATATCTTTAAATATGTATGTATATATAGACATAATGTATATTATTTTTGTTGTTGTTCTTGTGTTTCGTTTATATGTGTGTGTATATAAAAATGGCAAGAAAATAAATCAAAAATTTTTATTTACCCCCAAAAACAAAAGAAAAAAGAAATAAAACACATAGCGAGCAAATGTTACAAAAACTCCAACAACAACATGAATTATGGGCAAATATTAATTTATGTGAAAAAAAAGTTCCAGTTTTGGAATTTTTTTTTGTTTTTGGTTTGGGTGGATTTTTTTTTTGCATTTCTACGAAAAAATTATTAACTTTTTAAAATTAAAATAAATTGTGTCTGTTATAATGAAGTTGATGCATAAAAGAAATGGAGAAGGTGGAGAGGAGAGGATAAAGGGGAAGGTGAATAGAAAATTAAATAAAGTTATTTTCAAATCTCTAAGAAAATTGTTTTTATACCCTACACAACTATGTTGTGAGGGTATTATAGCTTTGTGCAGCCCCAAATGTTTGTAACGCCGCGAAATATTGGTCCTAGACCCACCTTTAAGTATACCGATCGTCATATCTCGACTAGCTGAGTTGATCTAGACATGTGTCCGTCCGTCTGTCCATTATAATTTGTAAACACGATACAGGCCACAGTTATGGACCAATCTTCACGAAATTTTGCATGTAGGATGGGTTCTGGCCAATGAAGACCCCTATTGTTTTTGGAAAAGATCAGACCAAAAACTAAATTTTTGTCTGATTTTCTGGTTCACAATTATGGCCCAAACACCGCGAATTTTTGCATGGAGAAGGGGATCGGGTCAAAGAATAAGCATGCCAGTTTTAATAAAGAACGGTCAATATTTAGCGGGTCAAATGGACCCTAACTTTTGTGTGAAAAATTACAAAATTTGTATTCTATAGCGTATATATTTACGACTGAAGGACATAGATCCGAGAAGTTGATAGTATATCCAAGAGGAGTGGTTGACCTTTAAATTGATACCAATTATGTTGTCGTAGGTACTCGGATGCGGGGGTTACACTTAAATATTTACAGCTACTTACGTATTCATATATTATTTAGTAACCTATTACAACACTGGAGGGCGGAAATACAGCGCTGATCGCTTTGAAATGTTCCAT